GTCTGTTACAACACTAGGTGAGGCTACAGATACTGCTCCACCCAACTTCTGGTGTGAATTATTACCCATATGGTCTGTTAAATCATGTAAAGTAGTTGAGTCTAAGAATGAATCCAGTTATATTTTCACCTAATAAGTCTTGACCATCAGATAAATCAATTGAATGATTTGTATCACCAGATGAATTTGATTAGTAACCATCTCTTGCTGACTGAAAATCAAAAGAATCTGCACTAGATTGCTGAGCAGTTTCATAAATATACGTTGCACAGCTATCAGAAGACCCCACCATCAGCAATTACAGGCATTTGAGGTTTTTTCTGAGGACTTGCTTTCAATGGTGACTGCACCATGCGTTCCAATTCTTCAAAATTAGCCAAACTTTTCATCCTGCATTTCAAGTATCCCAAAACCATCAAATTGAAAGCATTGCTTTTAACACGTATTTTTGGAACTATTGTATCATCTATAGCAGTTTGATGTAAATATTCTGGTGCAGTCTGATCAAAGATATTGAATTTATCTGATAAATTGTTCACGAGACCGTTTCCAATGCTTTGTAGAACAAAGATCAGGTTTTTGTTTGCTTTCATCTTTTGTGCAGGAATGTCTTTGCAATAAATAAATGAGTCTGTTGATTCTTCTAGAAGGACAACATCTGAGTCCCTGAATTGTTAAATGAATCTGCCTCTGCAATTGATTTAGCATCTTCATCAAATAGAGTCTGAACTACTATTTATAGAAATCACCTCATGGGTGTTTTCTATGGACAAATTAAGTAAAGATTTTTTGACAGAATTTTCATCAACTTTTTTCTGACCCAAAAATTTTGTTGTTTTCTACAGACAAGTAAAGTAAGATTTCTGACAACATTTCTGTGATCATCATCACATTTTCTGAACTATCTTCCAAATCGAAATTTCTATATTTTCTTTGGATGAATTTAACAAAGATTTTCTAACAGCATTTAAATCTTCATTAATTTCTTCTAAACTACTATCAATATGATTAAAATTTGCTGGGTTTTCTATGGACAAACCTAGTAAAGATTTCCTGACACCTTCATTTAAATCTTCATCAACCTTTTCACCAAAATTTCCTGGCAAAGATTCCCTGACAAGGTTTAAATCTTCAGTTGAATCTTGTTTAGTCAATAATAAAACCTCTGAAGACTTATTTCCAAATAGATTATTGTGTAAATCATCTTCTCCAAATCTGCTGGACATTTTTGTAGCTCCCGTAACACTGGTAACTGGTTTATCTTTTCTAAAATGATTTTTCTTTTATAACACAATTGCAGATTTTTTTTTGTATACAATAATATATCACATATATATTTCTATCACTGTTATAGATTATCTTAAAATGTAAATTATTCTAAATGCAGAATTGCCTGAAAATCTTGTAAATTAAAGGATCGAATGAAAATGTAGGATTGTCTGAAAATCCTGTAACTTGTCTCAAATAATGGTCGATTGTCTGAAATTATTGAGGATTGTCTAAAATTGTGGTACATTGTCTGCAAATATTGAAAAATGTCTGAAATTGTTATAAATTTATTTTAAATGTTGTAGATTGCCTGAGATTATGGTAGGTAATCTAAAACCATTGTTGATTTTCTTAAAATGTTACAGATTGCCCGATAATCTTATAAATAATTTGAAAATATTGTGAGATCATCTGAAAATGCAGGGTTGTCTGAAAGTGTCCTAATTTGCATGAAAAGATTGTCTTAATTAGTTGTAGAATTGTCTGAAAATCTTGTGAATTGTCTCAAATAACTGTAGATTGTCTGAAAATGTTATAAGTTTGTCAGAAATAGTTGTAGGATTGTCTGAAAATGTAAACTATTTAAAAATGTTATAGATTGTATAATTATAATAGTATAAATAATTGAAGATTGAATATATTGTAAATTATCTGAGATCTTTGTAGATTTTCTGAAAATATTGTTGAATTGCCTGAAAATGTTGCAATATTATAGGATTGTCTGAAATTGTTATAGAGTGAAATCATTGTAGATTTTCTGAAAATGCTTTGGATTTCCAAAAATGTTATAGCTTATTTGAAAATCTTGTGAATTATAAGTAAATGATGTAGATTGTCTGAAATCCTTTTTGTAAATATAATTGTCTGAAAACCTTGTCTAGTTGTCTCAAATAATTACAAATTATCAGAAAATATTGTAAATCGTTTGAAATAACATTGCAAGGTTGTCTGAGAATCATATAGGATTGCCTGAATTTGTCACAGATTGTCTGAAAATGCTTTCGATGGTCTGAAAATATCATAGCTTATCTGAAAATCTATGTTGTAAATTGTCTGAAATCGTTGCAGAATTGTTTGAGAATCTTGTATAATTGCCTGACAATTTTATTGTATGAAATCATTGTGAACCATCTGAAATTGCTATAAATCGTGTACATTATTTGAAAATATCGTAGAATTATTTAAAAATGCATAAACATGTTGTTGGATTAGTATGAAAATGTTGAAGGATTGTCTGAAATCATTGGAAATAGTCTGAAAATCTTGTAAATAGCCTGAAAATATTTTAGATTGTCTGAAATTGTTGCAGCATTGTCTCAAATAAATTGTCTCAAAGAATTCCGGATTACTTTTAAATTTTGCAGATTATCTGAAATTGCTATAAATTGTGTACATTGTAAAATTATTTGAAAATGTAAGATTGCCTGAAAATGTTGTTGGATTATCTGAAATCGTTGCAGGATTATCTAAAATAATTAAAGATTGTCAGAAAATACTGTAAATTGTCTGAAATCATTGTAACATTGAAACAATGGAAGATTGTCTGAAATCTCTGTAGGATTGTCTAAAATTGTTCTAGATTGTCTGAAAATTATGTAGGATTGTCTGAAATTAATGTAGCTTGTTTCAAATCGTTATAGATTGTCTGAAAATGTTTTCGATAGCCTAAAAATGTTACAGCTTATCTAAAACTCTTGTGAATGTTGTAAGTTAACTGAAACTATGGTTAATTATTTGAAATCGTTGTAGAATTGTCTGAGAATCAAGTAGGATTGTCTAAAATTGTTAGAGATTGTCACAAAATCCTATAGTGTCTGAAAATGTTGTAAATTGTCAGAATGTGGTCTCTATACCAAGGGGTTGTTTCTAATTGATTATAAAATATCAAAACTATATTCTATTAAACTTTATCATAAGCTAAAAGGATTTACACCTATTTAAAACAACTACTCACTTATTATAACTTTCCATAACCCCAAGTGCTTTTCTAATATCGTTTAACGATATAGGGCCCATACAAACATCTTCTTCGTCACTAGTATCCATATAACGCTTTTGTAAAACAAATTCTGACTATTATAAAACACAAAATAATAATAAATAATTATTAAAACAACTTAAAAGGCGGTTGAACTGTCAGTTTTAAAATAAAACATAAAATGAATTAAGTTTGGTGTTGACAGATGAGATAATGTAAGTACAAGTTAAAAAAGTGTTGCCATAGAAGAAATAATAGGTAGCTGTAAGTGTCAAACTTCACACCGCTTATGGCGTGTGACGTAATGCTGCGTCCCCACTGCACGAATCCGTGCGGCGAATCCTGTTCGCGACGCACGCATGCGTTGGCTCTTGTGCGCGACGCACACTGCGAGCAATTTGATACATTTGAAATTTTTAGGATTCCATAATATTTTTTTTCTTGATACAGTTCAATTATAAGAAGTGTAAAGAAGTATAACATCTTCTCTACGCATATTCATTTTCAAAATTGAGGATTCGATGAAATATCTTAATGCCTTCACTGTACAATTGAACTTATACCGTAGCACAGATCAACGTTTACGTACAAGTTCAAAGAAATAACGTATACGAATACAGAGGCAGGCTGACCAACAATTATCAGTTTTGAATAAAAATTATTACTTCTGTTCTAAATATAAATACTTGTCAGAAAAGACTTTGAGCAAAAATTCAGTCTGCATATTAATAAGATTTTAAATGATATTTAGCGTAATTGCAAATAATACAATATTACCATTTTTTTTTGAAACATTTAATTTATTTTGAATAATAAATATATGATACGTCATATAAGTAGTAAGAGTATATATATATATATATAATATATATATATATATATATACATGATAATATCATGATGATATAAAATTAACTCTGAAATATGATAAATAAAGTCTACCAAAATATATTTTAGTTGGATATACATATATTTCAACATATCTATAACTTAATTACCGATGTATTTCCTATACTAATAGTTAGATAAAATTATAATTAGTACATCAATTTTAATGACTGCTTACTTATTTACATTTTTGATCCGCGCTTTGACGCTAATCCATTAGTGTCGGTTCGGGTATTCTCGGCAGCCCGATGCGTCGGGTTGCTCGCGGCGGGAGCGAGCGCCGCGAACGCAAGCTATTGAAATTTTCGTGTCGCTTCGACCATGTTCGGCAGGGTACGTAATTCTAAAAATAACCCCCCTCCCATTTTCAAACAAAAAAAGAAGAAAAAAGTGCGCTATGGACATGCGCAGTGGACAAATTTAAAGGGAATTCGTGCGTTCGCACAGTATCACTCCGCTGCGCAAATTTGTTCGTGACGCACCATTCGCCGCACGGATTCGTAACAGTGGAGACGCGGCATAAGGCACCGCGCGCACCATTTGAAATTCAAATTCAAAAGCGCGAAATTTGAATTGAATTAGATGTAATTAGCATTTTCAATGCAAACTGGTGGTGTATGGCATCGTGCCTTAAGGCAAATTGCTGGAACTTCCTAATATTCGAGGAATATTCAATGTTTCCAAATAGGTTATTAAAAATACTGTTTACAGAAAAGTAAATAAATAAAACTCAATCAATCGAATTTAAAAGTAGTCAGTGGTGTATGTATGGCATTGTGCCTTAAGGCAAATTTCTGGAACTTCCCGTACCGTATCGAAATGTTCGAGAAATATTAAATGTTTTCAAATAGATTATTATAAATACTGTAGCATTGTCTAATATTTATAAGAATTATATAAACTGAATTGCAAAAAGTTAAAATATTTATTTAAAATATATAAGTGAGCTTTAGAACTTAAGCCAGAATTAAAATTAAAATCTGAATTATGTTCGATATACAAAATAATTTGAAATATTTTTTTTTCCAAAAGCAATTGTTTCGTAAGCACAAGCAAAAAGTTTTTTTTGATTCATTCAAATCTCAAGCTTATTTATCTCAAAAGCCGCAATTTTTTGCTCATTTATCTCGGTATCTCCGAAACGGCTACACCTGCCTTTGCCAAAAACTAATCACCACTTTTCCTCGTCATTACAAATTGAATGTTTTTTGGATCATTTTAATCGGATGCTCCGTTCTCTCAAAAACTCAGTTTCTATTTTTTGCACTCTTTTACTCCATATCTCCAAATCAATAGAAATCGAATGTTTTTTGAAACGGTCCAACTGATCGTATCGCAAAACTAATCATAGCAAGTTCTTATCGAGCTTCATCGAATGACTTATTATATTTTGAAATCGGTACAGCCGTTTTTGACAAAAAAGCCGATGAAGTTCAAATTTTCGCTCATACCTCAAAGACGCTGATCATTTTCTTACATCTGGACGAATTTTTAAAATTAAACCAGTAGTAACAAATTACAACAATTAATTCGAAGAAATGGCAAGGCTGATCTTTACCACGAATTAATCGGCATGAATCCAAACTACTACCTTATAAACAGTCTTTCTGAACTTTTCAAAACAGCTCAGGATTTTTTTGCGAAAAAGTGCACGAAAATGTTTGCACTTTTCTGCCAACGATTTAGAAACGGCTGTGCTGATCTTTGTACAAAAGTAATCAATACGAGTCCTTATATAGTTATATCAAACGGCATTTAAATTTTGAAAATTGGTTCTGCTGTTTTTGAAAAATATCGACGAAAGGTCAAAAATCGTCTCACATATACATAAGCATGCATATACCTTTTCCAAATTTTAATAAAATTAGCAAACCGGATTTTCTGGCGAAACCACAATTTTGTTCTATGGAAAGTTAATTAGCAAATCGGATTTTCAAGAAAAACGTGGAAGTTTATACTTCTTTTTTCCATGAAGAAGTTAATAAATCTCTTTTATTGTCTATTTTCAGGTCAAAAATGGCGAGACATGCGCTCAACCCTCAGTCCAGCATTCACAGGCAGCAAAATGCGAAACATGTTCCAACTAGTGTTAAAATCTGCCCAACAAATGGCCTTGCATTTAAAAAAAGAAACAACAAAAAGTGGTACCACCTATACATATATATCTTGCCCTACCTCATCAATTCCCTTGATAATTTTCCTCTTTTTTAGGTTCCGTAACTTTGGAAATGAAGAGCCTGTTCACGAAATATGCAAATGATGTGATTGCCAGTTGTGCTTTTGGTCTGGAAGTGGATTCTTTGAGGAATCCTGAAAACGAATTTTATAAATTTGGGAAGAAAGTTACTGGGTTTGGAGGTCTGGATGCCCTGTTGAGGTTCTTGGGCTTCAATTTGGCACCATCTCTTATGAGGGTGAGTTGGGAGAAAGGATATATGATAAAAGATAATCTTGGGAGTAAAACATAAAAATCAGCTTGAGAGGTAGAGATATCTTATTTTGGCAAGGATGTTCTTTGGAAAACCATTGACCAACGTCACAATGCAATTTTAGGCTTGAACTTACTCAAACAATCTATCCATTGATGAGACCAGAATAATACCATCTACCAAAACACATCAACCATAAAAAATTCAAGACAAAACGTGCACATTTTTCATCACTAATTTTTTTTAAGTTTTGGTATTCAACTCTCTTTGCTTTTCCCCTTAGGCTTTAAACATCAACTTCCTGGACAAACAAACCATGAAATTCTTCCGCGGTCTGGTACACGACACAATGTCTACACGAGAACTACAAAAAATCTCCAGACCAGACATGATCCATTTGTTGATGCAAGCACGAAAAGGAACTTTACGAGATGAAGATAATGCCAAAAGCGATTCGACCAGTGCCAAAAGAGGTAACAACCTTAAATTTGACCATATTTTGTCTTTTTAACCAGTTTATTCTATTTTTACCAGATTGGTCCGACGATGAATTGACAGCACAAGCCTTGATTTTCCTCATAGCTGGTTTTGACACGACGTCAACCTTGTTGATGTTTTTGGCTTATGAATTGGCGTTGAATCCAGAAGTGCAAGAATGTTTGCAAGAGGAAATTGATAGTATTTTTAATGCTGATGGTGATGAAGGCTTGACGTACGAAAAGTTGGCAAAGGCTACGTATATGGACATGGTGATATCTGGTAAGTGGATCAAGGATAATGGACATTTTTGGTCGCAACTTTTAAACGCATCAAGATAATTGGACGCAGTCTTCAGCAGGGAATTGAATTATCTACAAGCTTTTTTGCAACAACGCTATGTATTAATTTTTTTTTCTATTGCACCTAAATCCCATTTTAATTGGTGCAATGCTTCACGCGATACGAAAATAACAATTTGAACACTAATATTTTTCATTGTTTTTGTAGAAACTTTAAGGAAATGGCCACCTGTAGTCTTCCTGGACAGAATATGTTTAAAAGACTACGAAATCGAAGATAACATTGGCAGAAAATACACGGTGAGTATATAAATTAGCCCGCTGTACTATTCATAGTTAAGCAATAGAAATTCACAAATAGACTTAAGACAAAAAAAAAATTGTTTACCTCTTAATTTTCTTATTTTTAAAGGTAAAAAAGGGTGAAGGTGTCCTTTTCCCAGTTTACCACATTCACAGAGACCAAAAATATTTTGCTGATCCAGAAAGATTCGATCCTGAACGTTTCAATGATGAAAACAAAAAGAATATACAACCTTTCACTTATATACCTTTTGGGGTCGGCCCCAGAAATTGTATAGGTAAGCAAAAAAAAAATGTTTGTGATGTAACATTAACGTTAAAGTTACATAACAAATAATATTTGAAGAAACATTGACATTATAAAAAATATAAAGAAATCCTTTACAATTAACAAAACCCACCTCTTAACATTAACGTTAACGTAACATTAACGTTAAAGTTACATAACAAATAATATTTGGAGAAACATTGACATTATAAAAAATATAAAGAAATCCTTTACAATTAACAAAACCCACCTCTTAACATTAACGTTAACGTAACATTAACGTTAAAGTTACATAACAAATAATATTTGGAGAAACATTGACATTATAAAAAATATAAAGAAATCCTTTACATTAAACCAAACCCACCTCTTGGCTTGGCATCAGTCATCTCCTCACCAGGTTTTTCTTTTTCAGGATCAAGGTTTGCCCTGATGGAAACCAAAGCAATGCTCTTCATCATCCTGAGTTCATTCAATTTTAGAACCTGCCTGAAGACTGAGTACCCATTGAAGTTGTCGAAGAGAGACTTTGACCTGGTTCCTGCCAATGGAGTTTGGGTTGATGTGGAACCAAGGAAAAAATAATAGTTGATGAATAGCTAAAATAATAATGATAATTAATGGAAATTGTTGTTAATTGTTTTTTAACTATTTTTATAATTATTTTATAATTATTTTTTTAAAATAGATAACCAAGATGTATATTTTTAAATATAAAAATGTTTAAGAAAAGATTTTAATAGGTTTGAATATTTTTTATTGTTATTATATTATATATATATATATATATATATATATACATATGTTATATAAATATTTAGCTAATAGTTATTTCTAAATTCGTTTATATAAAAATTATTTTAAACCTTGACTAGAACATAAATGTTTGCGTTAATAAATATTTATGACTTAACAATTATATTATTATATTTTTGCGATTATAAAGGTTCAGCTTTAATATATTTTATTTATTTAAATATTTAAAATAAACTTTATAAATCATGAGTGCTTGCCATGTCCACCAAACCTAACACAAAGGTTTCTCATAAGAATATGTATTACACAAATATATTTAAATAGTATTACAGTTATTAAAAAAAAACTAGGTGTAAGTGGTATTTTGACTTAAGGCAAGTAGCATGTATGTTTGACTTATAAAAATGATACATTTAATGAATAAAAATTAAGATTCCAAATTTATTTAAAATTGTGGCCTTTTTATTCATTTCCAGAGATCAGAACAGATCAGATTCCAGAGAACACACCTTGTTAGTATCTATTTTTTAGTATCATTTTAAAGTCAATTAATTAATGCCTAAACTTGTATTTGAATCAATACTTTAAATGTTAAATACTAAATGTTAGTACAAAGGAAAATTTATAAAAAAAAAACGATATTGGCTAAATAGGGGTCTATGGCAAAGCCTAAGGGGTCCACGACACAAACAAGTTTAGAAACCTATGATACAGACAAACTAGTGGTAAGCATGGCATCGTGCTTTAAGGTGAATTGCTAGAACTTCCCGTACCGCAATTAAAAATCTTGATACGGAACCCAAAAAAAAATTACACAAAATTATTATTATTATTAAAATCTCTATAAAATATCTGATAACTTGAGGCAAATATGCCCAATAAATATTTTGATCGCCAAATGATATTTTTTTAACTATTTTTATTGAGAGTTAAAAAGTTTGCTCTCATTTTCTAATTACAATAAAGAAAAGACTCGGCCGATCGTTTCTTAAAACAAATCAACGCGAGTTTTTATCCAGAGCCTTTTGAAAAGTCAAATTTTGTTACACAAACTTTTTATAATTTCGGTGTCAAACAATTAAGAGTCATAGAAGTATGAAATCAGATTTTCTGGCCAAAACTTTACTTCTTATTCTAGGGAGATAAGTATTTATAATTAGATACAAACAAGTATAAACAATGGCAAAGATCAAAATTTAAATTTATATTATAGCTGAACCTAAATATATATATATATATATATATATATATATATATATATATATATATAATTTCCCTGTGTATGCATTTATATATTATTGAGCATTTAGTAAAGACATCAATATAAATAAACAATATTAAATTGTATACATTTATATATAATATCTAGTTGCCATTACTTTTAGCAATAAACAATAAATCTAGTATTTCGTTAAATATATATATATATATATATATATATATATATATTATAATAATAATATATTTCCTACATTCATCTAATAACATATTGAATAATATCATCAGTCGCCTTAATTCTATGTTAAATTAGGAACAATTAAATTTATTAAAATATTTTTATATATATATATATAATTTATGAATAAAATATAATATATAAAGAGAAATGCTTTGGAATATATTCGTAATTATTGCATAAATATATAAATTTATAAATAAATATAATATGAAAACTTATTATCTTTTGACTGAATAATCTTTATGCCTTAATTATATAGGGTGGTCCTTAATATTGATATTTTCGAAATTTTTTGCTCCGAAGGGCTCAAATGCTTCCAAAATTATACAAAAAAAATTCTGTGAAAGTTTTAGCTCTTAATATTAACCATAAGATAGTCTGCATTCCAACCAAAGTTTCTTATGGAAATAAAATGAGTAAAATTCCATTTGTTTTTTAGAATTATATAACTTAGTGACAAGTGAATCAAAATTTTGAGAATAACATTGAATTTGCTTATTTTGATCATAAATAGAAAATGTACAACAAAATTTTGATATTCTATAAAATAAGTCTTTACGTAGAAAGATGAACCAAGAAACTTTGGTTGGAGTGCAGACTATTTTAACGTTAATATTAAGAGCTAAAACTTTAAGAGATTTTTTTTTCATAAATTCAGAAGCATTTGAGTCTCTGGAAACAAAAAAATTCGAAGATATCCATATTAAGGACCACCCTAACATTTATATATATGTATAGCCTGTATAACAAGTGATGACATTAAATTTGAGTTAAAAAAGTTATTTGTAAATAAAATATTATATATATAAATAGCCTTTTACTAAATGTATTAAATAATATTACCATCCACTACCACTTCAAGACTTTGGTTTCATGTCATCATCAGCAAAATTAGCAATAGAACTCACCTTCCAACTTCTCCATATATAATCATCTATAATTAATCTAATTATCTTATCTGAATTATTCAATTCCAAATGTATTGGTCTCTTCAACAGCCAAAAGCAGTTTCTCATGCAAAACCTCTGGAGTGGCATAAGGAGGCAGGTCCAAGCGATTGAAACAAGTGTGAGCCCTGGGCAAACTGTTTGGTTTGCCCCATTTTTCTATGCAGAACCTAAATGGTAACAGAAATATATAAATGAAAAAATATACATATTAAAGTATTTTGTTGTAATATCAATACCCTATTGATCCTAACTACAAATATATATATCACATTTTACAACACAACAATCACATGCTATATTGAGGTGTTGTAAAATGTGATATTAAAATGTGTTTTTTCCTGATTTTGTTTTTTTAATTAATTTTTCTAATTTAATATGTTTAAGTCTAAAACTTTTCCTTATATTGTAAATTTTCTTTTAGCTGAGTGATGAGACACATCTAGTCTCGAAACATATAAAAAAATCAAAATAAACTTTTCCATATTTGACACATTGGCTGTTTTATTCAATTCAATATATCTATCTATATATATATATATATATATATATATATATATATATATATATATATATATATATACTATTACCTTCTAGGGCCAGTGGAGCCTCTCAACGAGCTAAATCCTTCATAAGGTATACTGCTGGTTCCAGTAACAAATTGTAAAAGTCTTAATCTTTGCTCATTTGTGAAACGTTCCTCGATGACTTGCCAGAACCATAAAATGACCTGATGGAACAATAATTTGTGTACAATTTTGTAGAAAACAAAAGTAGGAGGCAAATGGCAAAATAATATTACATATTATTTACTCTCAAAAATATTTTACTCTGTTCCTTGAAAATAATATAACAAATTAAACATTTGTGCCGTGTACTAAACGTAAGTTTATTGATTAGAAATTATTTCTATATTATTCGTAGTTTCTATTATATCTTTGAAGTTATTAAAATAGAAAATATTTTTTAGGCAAGACAGATATTGCAGCTGTTTACAGAATGAGATTATATCGCCAGCATAAAAGTTAAAAAAATACAAGCAGTCAATGAATGTATGTTAATTTTAATTACATGAAGCCCTTCAAACACAATTACATGATGAGTGAAGTTGCATAAACAATATTTGTTTAGACGTTGTTTAACATAATCCAATGTGTGAACGAATATTATAGAATTTATTAATCAGCAATTACTTCATTTCTCTACTGAAGGTTCATTTCTAAATGATAATTACAATGACAAACCGATCATGTCATATTTGAAGTATGACTTTAATACATTATTGTTTTTAAATATTATACATATTTTCAATGCTAATATAAATATATATATATAATATAATTTATAATTTATCTTTGACTCTAATAAATACATGAGTGTTATCATATTACTAATAAACATTATTCAAAATTGTTATATGGTGTATTTATTTTTACTTAAATGCCATCTGGTACAGTAGCAAACTTCAATCGCGTGTGAACCTTACGCGCACTCTTTTCTTTTTAGTAAAGCTTATCATGCATGCCTAAACTTAAGCAAAAATGTGTGGAAAAGCTTTGTGTTAGGCTTGGACAGCATAGTGAGCATTCACAAATGTTTTCAAATTTTTAGAATTTTGTTTTCTCAATAAATTTATATTTTTTATTTATGACATACCCTATAATTAGTCTAAAATATACCTGATGTGCGTCATGATATCCACTTCTATATTCCGTATTTTGCCGCCAATCCAGAACGTCAATTTCTGCAGTACCTATATAAATCAAATTTACATAATTAATTATAGAACTCTACTGACAACAAAACTAAATATCGCCTTGACCAAAAAATATGTGAAGCATATGGACAAAATAAGTGAGTTTGAATAGTAAAAATGAATTATTTACCAGCAATGACCAATTCCAGTTCCCGGGCATCAAAAACAGAAACCAATCTGGCGTCAACAACTTCATAAAATCCGCGAACTAAAGATTCCGTCTGTTCAGCAACACCGCGTTCCAGTCTCCATCTCACCATTCTTTCTAAATATTCCTAAAAAAAAAAAAAAAATAGATTAGATGGATTGTAATGATTGGATGTGTATTAGGATCTAATACCAACTTTTTTGTTCTTTTCTGTGACCTGGACGTGTTTACCACCAGGTTTCAACTCTCTTTCGACGACTCGTCCTAGAAGTTCTTCGGTTACACAGAAATTCAACTCAAGAGCACCTCCAGTGCCACCTTGGCCCAGGTCGTTCTCTCGGATCCACTGTAAGGATTGGTGGAATTCGCTGTCTAAGGATTCTGAAAAATTAAATTTTTATAGAAAATTATTATTATCATTAAATTTAAAAAACCTGAGATTTTTGCAATTTACCTAAATCGCTCAAGGCTACTGGTAGCCTTAAGAGCGCCTTGTAGAACGGCCTGGTAAAAAAGGCGTCCAGGAGATACTGGTGCACTAAGGCCAAGCCTAAGACTCTGCCACTAAAACGAAACCTGCAAACAACACCAAACATTAATAATTTATTCACCACATATTTTCATACATAACCATTCGATTATTATGATCTCTGCACCTCTGACTTACCAATCGTGACAATTATCTACATAGGCGCTTGCTGGTGACACTTGTACTGTGTAAGTATCATTGGCGGAATATTCGAACAAACCATAGTAAGGATTGAACAATTCCCTCGACAGCAGGAAGAAAAATTCCCTGGAAGGTCCTCCATAATCCAACCCTTCTTCGCCGTCCCATAAAACTGCCAGACGACCCTTTTGGAGATCTTTCTTGGCGCAGGACATGACTCGCCTGAAGGCGTCCTCCAGGAGACGGGATCTTCTGATGTGCAACCTGGGTAAAGGACATTTGTTTATTGTTTCTGTTGTAACGTTTGAAAATATTAATGATGCATTCGGCAGATTGGTGCACAATTAAATAATCTGCTATAGGTATTGCAAACAATATTGGCAGAGAGTAGACAATATTGGCCGAGAGTAGACAATATTGGCAGAGAGTAGACAATATTGGCAGACAGTAGACAATGGTGTCTAACAATATTGCCTAGACAGTAGACAATATTGTCTAACAATATTGTCTAGACAGTTAGACAATATTGTCTAACAATATTGTCTAGACAGTAGACAATATGTCTAACCACAATTCCCCATCAATTTTTTTAATTCCATTATCCCTTACTTCAACTTATGAGGTCCTTGTCCGTATCCCTTGCTCTCCAATTTCCTATAAAAAGCCCTCAATTTAGCCTCGAAGTCTCTCCTGTAAGGAGCTGGTCCTCTGCAGGGGCCTCTTTGGATCGACACAGTCGATTGTGGGGTCTGATTGGGACTTGAATGAGACCCTTGTTGGTTGGAGGCGCTTTGAGAACCGTAAGGGCTTGAGGGGTGCTTGAATGGGTCTGCTGAGTGGGCACATAGCTCATTATTTCTTGCTCGAAAAGGCTGAGGAATGGTAAAGGAAATATTTTGAATAAAAATATTGAATTGTAAAGAAATATTTATAGACAGTTTGTAATATTTTGAGATAATTTAACTATTTGAGGTATTTTGCGGTATTTTCAGATACTTTAATGCGTTTTGAGAAATTTTAAGTTTATTTGTTACACTTCGATAAAATTCAATGCATTTTGAGTCGATTTGAAATACTGAAGATATTTAAATATTTTTTGAGGCATTGAGACCTAATAAGAGTAGGTTTTTTAAATATATTTTGAAGCAATTTTGAGAAATTTTACTATATTTGGACGATTGAAGACATTATAAGACGTCTTGAGGCGTTTTAGGCCTTTTTGAGACATTTCGAGACATTTTAAGAAGTTTTAAGATATTTTGAGGCATATTAATATAAAATAAGGGATCTTAAAACATTGTAAGATATTTTAAGAGATCATAATACGTTAAGATATTTTAATACAGCTGAATGTATTTGAAAATTTAAATTATTTTAATTCTTCAAAGATATTATAGAATAATTTACGAGATTTGAAGACTTTTTAAGACATTTTAAGTAATTTTAATAACAAAAAATATAAAATAAGTACTTGAACATATCTTTGAATAGAGATTTGAATATAAATTAATATATTTTAGGATATCATAATATAACTTAATATATAATAGAATATTATAATTATAATATATAATATATTTGTCATTTATTTGTAGAATAAAGTAATTTGACTGTTCATTTTGAGAAGTTTCAAACTTTATAAGATTGTTTAAAATATTTTAAGATATTTTCAAATATCCTAAGATATTTCTTGCTGGCATTTCAATATATTTTGAAACGATCTGAGATATTTACAAACGTTTTAAAAGATTATAATTTACACATTTTGCACTAAAATTATTAGACATTTTCTTCTAAAAATGTGTATAAACATATTTCAACTAATAATAGAGTTTAAGTATATTTCCATTGAATCACAGGTTTAAATAAATTTCAACAAAAAATATTTTTTTATTGAGAGTAATAATTTGACAGTGATTTGAATACATTACTCATCGGATGCATTAGTAAACTTTTTTGCATATATGATATTTGCGAAGATTTAATCGTGAATAATATTTAGCGTTAGATCAACTTTATAAATAAACATTGATATATATATATATATATATATATACAGTGGCGTCGGAACCAAATGTTTGATGGGTGGGCTCGTTTTTTTTTTTTTTTTTTTAGATAGGCAGCCAGTGGTCTCGTTTTTTTTTTTAGAGATATTAGCCCATATAATTTTTTGAAATTCATGGGTGGGCTAAGCCCCCCCATCAAAATTCATGGGTGGGCTCAAGCCCACACAGCCCACACGGTTCCGACGCCACTGTATATATATATATATATAATTATATTCAAATATATATGTGTATATTCTGATTTTTTTGCATTTTTTGCAGGCGTGTATGGAATATATTACAAAATTATATATAAATAGATAATAGTTCATCGAATAAAACTATTGTATGATATAATTGGATTGGATTATGCGTATACATATATGTTATTTTTTGTATATTTGTACAAAAAATGAAATAAATAACATAGTACATTTATAAGTAAAAAATTTAATATATGTTTTCATGTGGTTTAGTTTCCACAGTATAATTGCCGAATGTCAAACTGGACCTTTGTGCCCCGCCCTACCCGGTATATATATATATATATATATATATTGAATAAATAATTATTAAAAATTCGCACTAGCAAATTGATTTTAGCAAAATAGTTAGAGGCGTTTAGAGACGTGTTAAAAATTAATGAATGCTAATTGATAAATTATATATTTATATATATATATATATGATTGTTTACATTATTAATAATAATGAACTAATAAATATACAATGCATCGCACGAAAAGTATCCGTTGCAAAAATTTTATTGTAATGAGATGTTAATTTCTTAGACAGCCTTGAACACCATTTTCAATTCATTGACAGATTATATATATATATATATATATATATATATATATATATATATATATACAGTAAAACAACATTAAAACGATTTTCCAGAAGCCAAACCCAAAAAGCGTCCTTATGAGGGATATAATAAGTATACCTAGAAGCAGCTTCTACAAAAATATAAACAATGTTGATTTCTATTTATGATCAGATAAACAAATTTTAATAAGAATATATAAAACTTTAGAACATTAATTTAAAATTTAAGATTTTAAGTGAATCTTAACTTTTCCATCTTATGACATCACAAACAATTAAGAGAATGCACATTGTAAGGCACATTTTTAAAAATAAAAATGTATGTTCTTGCTTATGTATATTACATTTATTAAGTTCTTCATTTTCACTGACAATGCCAAAATTAAATGCCGAAATGTATGAAAAAAAAAGATTTATATTTTTAAACATTTATACAAAATAAAACATTTATAGACACTTATACAATTAGATACATCATATAAACATTCATCTACATATTTGCACACTTTTGTACACATTTTATATAGTAATAAACTCACGTGCACATTTTACACACATTTTATACACACATATACATCGACACACATTTATGCACACTTATATACATTTGTATACACTATACATTCAATACATCATCTATACAATAATCTACAAATTTGCCCAAATTTATACGCATTTATACATATTCAGACATATTTATACCTAAATGTATAAATATGTATATGTACTCATTTTACATTTATACACACATTTATACATATCAAACAAATTCTACGTCTTCATGGTCTTTATACACATTCAAACACACTTATATACATTTATACACACTTATATACATTTACACACATTCAAACACACTAATATACATGTATACACATATATGTACATATTTACATACGTTTATACACTCTTATACACATATGTACACATTTTACACACATTTTCTACACACTTATACAACAACACACATTTATTCATATTTATACACATTGACACACATTTAAAAACATTTTACATATTTATATACACACTACACATTTTAAACTCATGAAAACACATTTGTACAAATTCAAACAATTTTACACACGTATACACATTTAAACACACGTATACACATGTGCAGTGTGTATACGTGTTTTTAAACACGTAAGTGTGTGCACAATGTTTTACACACTTATACATCGACACACATTTATGCACACTTATACACATTTATATAAACTTTAACACATTTATATGCATTTATATACAGTGTCCACATTTATATATATTTAAACATTGTAATTTATCGACACATCTTTTAAAAATAAGTATTAAATTATTCCGAATAAATTAAATAAATAAGGTCCCGTACAAATATAAATTCTCATACATCATCATAAACGTATTTCATAAAACAAAACAATTATTTTCACAACACCAATATTTGTTTTTGAGATAATAATTAATATATTTTTGTCATTAGCGCTAATTGTCAAAATTAACTATGCAAATAATAAATACCGTTACAAATTTACAGAAAAATATATGAAGTAAAAGATAAATATTATTGTCGATTTGTTTTGCTAGTGAGAATATTGCGCTTTTAAATATTGACAGCAAAACCCTGTTAAGACGATTTTGCAAAGAATGGACCAAAAACGCGTCTTATGCGAGAATTAAACATGATCGTCATAATGGAGTTAAGCAATTAAGTCCATTGTTATTAATATAATTAAATATTTAGGTTTTTACAAAAAGTGCACTCACATGTGGAGGTCATTTGTTTTTGTTAAAAAATCCTACGTCTACTCAAAAATCTTATTTTGTATCATTTTTTTTTGAAAAAAAAATCGTATAACATGTTTCGATGATTCATAACAAATTAATATAATTAACAATAAATATTAATATATTAATAACAATTTTTATAATTAATAAATAATAACTACTTACAGACTGAATAAAATCCCGAAGGCCTTCGTAACAAACCCCCATCTTGTATTTTACCAAATAAATCCAATAATCGGTCAATATTGATTTCCATCAAACAAAATTCACACATTTCAACTTTTAAATTATATATTTTAATATTTTTTTAAATTTTAAATTAAATTTTCACCATTTCTTCCGGCGCTTTCTCTTACTTTTGGCAATACTGTTCGGTGTCATGTCAATGACAGCGACAACTTCATGTCAATAATAAAAGTCACAGGTATCACAATGGACAGGTCAGTTTTTTAGTTTAAACATCATTTTACACTAAAATTTAATAAAGAATTTATATATATTTTTGAACACAATGACAAATTTAAGTATGATTTAAGCATTATGTTAAAAGTAGCAATAAATTGATTGATTTATTTGAAAATAAGTCATGTCAATAAACAATAATGATATCTGGTTGACGCTTTGACACATAACAATTTATGTCAAAAGTTGCAGTGTGTCAATTCATGTCATAAGTTGCAGTTTTGTGTTGACAATTGACGTGTCTTATGACAATTTTGACATGAGTCATACTAATGTGCCATTTTTGACACGTGTCATCAACAAGTTATTTTGATTATGGGATACTGAAATGTCAATTTTTTGACAAATACTCGAGTAAAATGTCAATTTCGACAGGTGTCGTACTAAAATCAAATTTTGACAGGATGTAGATTTATCAAAAATTTATTAACTATGCATTTTTGAAGGATTGCATTATGTGAAAGTAGGAATCAATTGATTGATCATGCCATGGATCAAACTATAATCTAATACACAATGCCAATTTATGTTAAAAGATGTCAATTTATGTCCAAAGATGTAAATTTATGCCATAAATTGATTTTATGATAAAATGTCAATTTTGACAAAAGTCATTCGTCAACATTGGCATAAGTCATAAAAAATGTCCATTTCTTGTACTTGTCATAAAGATATTATAATTTTTGGTTAGGACATACTGAAATGTCAATTTTGACAAGTACTCGAGTAAAATGTCAATTTCGACGCGTACTAAACGCATACTAAAATTATTTTTGACACGTGTTATACTAAGAAGTAATTTATCAGAAATTTAGTTTCTAAACATTTTTAAACAATGAAAATAATTTTGATATCATAATAATTTGATTACGACATACTAAAATGCCAATTTTCGCGAATGCTCTAGTAAAATGTCAATTTTGACACGTGTCATACTAAAATCAATTTTGATAAGTCATACTAAGGGTGTAAGTTTATTTACTAAACATTTTTAAACTATAAAAATAATTCTCAAAAAAATATATTTAGTAAAAAAAAATAATTTTATCAATCTAAAAACTCATTGGCAACAAACAAACAACAAATAATTAATACTTATTAAGTTATATTCTATTATTTATCTTTATTCTTGAAGAATCATCTAGAATAATCTAAGATCTAAGATAAATATAAATAAATTCCACTTAGAACAAAATAATTAAAAGAAATCGCGAATTAAATTGCACAAAAACACGCCATATGCAAATACGATTTGTTGCCATAGTTTCGCTTTTGTTATCGTAGAAAGTTCTTTTAAAAAAATCAATTAATAAATTTCTTTTATTAATTGAAAACATTGGAAAGAAAATGTATATATATATATATATATATATATATATATATATTATATATATATATGTCTCTATATATAACGAATGCAATATCCCAATTTCAAATAATTAGGTCAACTTAAAGATAAATTTATTTCAGGCTAGCATTTTGTTTTAGTGATTCTAGCACGTGCAATATATACACAAATATATATATATATATATATATATACAAATATATATATATATATATATATATATATAATATATATATATAGTGTTTGTGTGAAGTACAAAACTAGGTGCACAAATGTGTATCAATTTGAACACGAGTGTTTATAAACTTGTGTAATGTGCAAAAGTGTGTATAAATAGTGCAGATATGTATAAAAGTGTGTAAAAAGAGCATGAATGTGTATAAATGTGTGTGAGCGTGTATAAATGTGTGCACATGTGTGTGAGCGTGTATAAATGTGTGCACATGTGTGTGAGCGTGTATATATGTGTACACATGTGTGTGAGCGTGTATACATGTGTACACATGTGTGTAAGCGTGTATAAATGTGTACACATGTGCGTGAGCGTGTATATATGTTTGTGTGGGCGTGTGAAAATGTGTTTAAGTGTATATAAGTACGTTCGAATGTGTAACTATGTGCTTGAATGTGTATTAATGTATATGAATGTGCTTAAGTATGGATAGGTGTTTATAAATGTGTGTAAATATGCATTGGTGTGTGTAAATGTGCATAATTATGTATATTTGTGTATAAAATGTGTACAAGTATGTTTTTGTTTGTTTGAAAATAGTCATTAATACTGTAATGTAATACGTATGAGAATTATTGTGATTTTCTTTTTTACGATAATGATACTATATTTATCAAACATTATATTTACATCCCTTGAAAAAAAAATTAAATATTTTTATAAATGAGTGAATATTTTTGAAAAAAAAAATGATAAATCCACATAACATTTTTAAGTGTGTAGAAATTTGTTATAAATGTACTTAAATGTGTATGAAAGTATATGGAAGTGTGTACGCATATGTATAAATGTGCATAAACTGAGTAAATATATAAATGTGTATAAATATGTAAAAATGTTTCCGAATGTATACAAATGTCTGTAAACGTGCTTTAGTGTGTAAAGGCATGTATGAGTGTATATACACATGTATAAGTGTATATAACCGTTGCACATATGTTTATATATAACATTAATAAAAATAAACTGATTAAATTTTAAATGTGTATTTATATGTTATATGAAAGATTTGCCCAGAAAATA